GTGTCTTTCGAATCGGGTACGATTCGACAGACTGGAAATCATCGTGATGCGAGCAAAGATTTTGAGAGCGAGAGCTGAATCGCGTATTTCGACTCGTAGAAACATCGTCTCTCTGATCCCGCGATTCATCGATACGTAGCCACGAAGAAAGTATAATGAATTTTGTCTAAAAATAAAGGCAAAGGAATATGTATGCGCGACGCGAGACTATAGTCGATCAGCTTTTTAAATCTGCTCGGAAGTTTGTATTTTTTTGCGACTAGAACTGTCGTCGATAACGTCCAATTACGCGTGTCGAGAGTTCGCGGTAGCGACTTAAGAACAGGCGGCTGAACGGAAGCGAGATGGAATCGAGGTTGGGCGGTTCGACGCAAAACGAGTGGGCATTTAATTTCAGCCGAGGAAGTTCGCACTAGCGATCCTCCTAACGTTGCCACCCCCTTTCCCACCCCCTTCCTCTTCTCTAATCGATTCTGAAATTATTCCCAGCGCACCACGGTAATTACCTAATAATTCCAGGATCGATCCACCGATGCAGCACAACGATGCAGCGCGAGGGAGAAAGAGCCGGGCAAAGAGAAAGAGAAAGAGAGAAAGCCCGCGAAAGTTCGACCTACTTTCCGGAAGGGGCTGGGATTACAAAAGGTTCGTTCGCGCGACAGACGCGGTAACGTTTCGCGCCGACTAATTATTCTCCGTTGAGTTCGGCAGTCGGATTTTTAATTATCGACGTATCGATAGAACGAAACCGATGCATTCGTTGTTCGATCGAGTCGATCGTAGCAACGTTCGACGACCCGATGTTCCAGCCGGAACGGTGAATCGCGCGAGAACGTTTCGTCATCGAAAAAACGGTCTTTGCCTTTCCATAAAATTATCTCGTTCGCGCCACTAGCCTTCTCTATCTTTGGCGTTCTCTGATTTTCCCTCTTGGTACCAAGCGCTGGGTCGATCGTCGGCGTAAATCGCGAAAAGAGAGAAGAAACTCAAGGTGACCGGTGGAGCCGCGAATACTCGTCGAATACGGTGAAACGCGAAAACGTACGCGAACGACGATATTATTATTCTCGGGGAAAAATATCGTTCTTCGATGCCTGTTTCCAAACTTTACAGCTAGCGAATTTCGTTGCGCTAATCGTGTCCGTGTTGCTGGCAGCGAGCACGCGCGCGATTACATTTGATATTCCATTCGCGCGGAACACCTAGCGGCAGCTAATTCTCGCCGACTTTGGTTTTCGTTACTTTAGAAGCTGTCGAGCAATAATTAATTTTCCGGACAATGCCTTGAAAATTGCCACTGTGCGACGGCCGTGTACATGTACGGCTTAAAATTTCCTCCGTAGAAACTTTACCCGCCCTTCTCTGAATTATATTTCAACATCTAGAGGAAAAAAATCTTTTGTGAATCTTTCACGAAAGTTTCCGCGCCCGACCAAGTTTCCAGCGAAGAACACCGAGGGGGAAGAGCAGTTTATCTTGCCGGAAGAACTTTTCCCTTGTATGCCGAGGAAATACCCTTTCGATCAAGCCGCGCCAACGAACCGCAACACCGTGAGAGCGGCCTTCTCCGTCAAGATTTCCCCTTTTCTCCGATTCTTTCTCCCATTCTTTCTCCTTTATCCTATCTTTATCCGTGCGTTTTCCTCTCCTCCGCCCCTAACACACACGTACGATCAAAATTATACCGATCATAATTTCCTGCTAGATCCAAACGTTTTTGCACGCTGGAAGAAGAGGGTTTGTCTCTCCGTTCCATCGATCCGTTGCATTTTCAACGATCGGTGAAATAAATCGCAGCTTCTTAACAGGTAAAAGGACTGCCCGTTGGATCACGGCTCACCGTCTAATCGAACTTGAATTAATTTTCAACGACAGAGATTCTCCTAACCCATTCTACTCGTGAGATTCTCCATCCGGCTGTACGTCATGCTTCGCGCAAACTACACATCCGTTAGGATGAATCGAGCCTCGAATCCGCTTTAATTTGGTCGACCGGAGAAACATTAATCTACGACTCGACGTTGTTTTCCCATTATGTGGATGAAGAATAGACGCGTGTAAATAGGGAATATAGGCGTGTGAAAAGTAGATGATCGCGAGTAAAACACGCACGAAACGTCTCTTGCTTTCGAGCGCGGCGGTTAATCGTGCGTCTCCGACTCAAACGCGAAGTAACATTTGCGTTTTACGTCGTGCCGCGTAAAGTGCGCCAATCAAACGCATTTCGACATTTGCCCGTTGCGTTGCATCGCGAAGCTCGATATCTTATCTTTAAATCGGCGGGCCTTTTCTTCCGTTCGGTTCCGTGTTGTTCGTTGATCGCGTCCCTAATTTTACCGGCTGCGGTTCGAGCGGAACGAGATCGATAGAACGGATCGATCTATCTTTGAGTACGCGTCGACTATTTGCTATTTATTCGGAAGTTGTACTTCTTCGTGGTCGTTGAGATGTACGCGTGTTCAGCCGAGTAACAGATAAAAGAGAGAAAAAAGCAAAAGGAAAAGGAAAAGGAAATATGAAACATCGATCGGGATCGGAAGTAAGCGTCTTAGCGACTTACCTTTGGTATTGCGATTCACGTTCCGTGGACAAAGTGACGGGATGATCTTGAGAGAGCGTGGAGGGGCACGTTCCGTAATCGGTAGCAAAACTCCCAAGAGGCTGATGCCCGCAAAGCTAGTGGAGGAGTAGGTCACGAGACGTTGCGGAGACGAGATACGTTGTCGCGTGTCTAAGGAATCGTTTGTGTATTAACGGGGTCGTTCATCCTCGTAGATCGTCCTCGAACTCCGAATCGTACCGCCTCTCGTAGCGACACTTTTACCTCTCGATGGTAGAAACGACGAATGGCGCGCAACACAGCCGATGGCACTTCACAGAAAACCGATCACAAAAATCGTTCGTTTTGGTTCGGTGTGGAGGCGATTTGGTGGCACGCTAGCCGCTCTGATCTTGTGAAAATCGTGTGGAACGAAAGGAAACACGGAAACAAGGTGGCAAAGCGTACGATCGATCGTAACCCGAGCGAAAACGGGCAAGAACTGACTGGCCTCGTCGAGGGTAGCTGCCCTTATAGATATAAGACAGGAGGGTGGCGCGTGCGCTGTCGGTAGTCGCGCATGCACGATTCGCGGTCGTTCCACTGCGCTTTCATGCTGCGGACCGACCTCGACGGGCTCCGACGGAAGAACAGCCTTAAAGATCGAAGCAGATTGGCCGATCGGAAGGAAGAAGATCCGACAAAGACGGAAAGTCGGTCGTTCGGTCAGAAAGTGACAGTGGTAAGGAGTGTGCGTCGGTTAACAACCCGGAGACGCGGGTACGTTCTCAGCCGCTCGTTCCTTCTTTATCACCGGCAAACGATGAAAAAGTAATTTACAACCCTCCCTCCCGATCGTTTGATTCCGATGCCACGACCCTCTCGCGATCCTGGTTTTATGCTCGGTCACGTTCACCCTTTCGTTTCGTCGATGTTTATCTATCAGGAGAAATTTTTAACATCGTCGCGCGCCGCGATGATATTCCGCGTTACGGCGCGCTAGACGCGAAGACAGACCGACAGAAATCGCCGACAGATATAACTCGGGAATTATAAATTCCAACGTTAGATTCGTTTCGCCGTGGTGGCCCTTGAACGCGAGGAAATTGAAACACGTGGCATAGAAATCGCGCGAAAGGAATGCTTTTACCGCGCGAATGTGTGTCTGAACACGGTCGGCTGATCTCGCTGTTCGTCCAATTACGGCGCGAAAATAACGAGACACCTTTTGATTTCTCCGGTTCAACTTACTCGGATATCGCACACGCGGAAAGCGCTTTGCCGTGCTTTCGCCCTCGTTCTTTCGATTCGTATTATAGAGACCTGTTGCTGACGAATATTTACGTACTATGCTAGAGTCAAAGTTCCGCCTGCTCGTAGCGCGCCAGCTCGAGCCACGAAATTCCACCGAGTCGGATGTCATTAAGCACAGGTGTGTCCGTCCAAATTGTCGGATAATCGTTTAAAAATCTGTGAAACTGCCAATGTTGCTTTCATCAGCGAAAGGACGCTAACTTTATCGAGTTTAACTATCAGCGATCGCGCAATGAGACGCGTTTTTCTTGCTCCGGACAGCGGCGAGTTTAAACGATTACTCGTTCGAGGAGACGAGGAACGGGGAAGGCGGGGACGATTCGAGCGTCGGAAAAGCGTGGTAGGCGTCGTCGAAACGACGCAGCGTGTCGTCGCGAATAAAAGAACGAGAAGAAACAGAGGTAACGTTCGAAAGTCGTTCCAAAGGCGAACTTGGCTAAATTTCGCGAAAATACGTTTTGGTATTTTAGGAAGAGACGAAAGGGAAGCGTTGTCTTGTACGCGGAGGATTTTGCACGATTCCGTTGCAACGTCGCTGATCTGAATTTACGTTCGATCCGTTTACGGATGGGCGACTTGCTCGTTCAAACGCAGAATGAGCGGCAATACGTTCGAAACGTTTCCGCCGGCCGCGCGTCCTTTTCACCCGTCTTCCGTTCCGTGAACGTTTACTCGAAATTCCTGCAGGAGCTTGACGGGAAATCGATGACAGTTAATAAGATTAAAAGACCTGTCGCTGGAACCAAAGAAAATTAAGGAAAGCAATTAGCTCGCAGAATTTAAGCGAGCTTCAATGGCATCGATAACGAAAGACGCAAATATTTTCCGAGAAATCTCGTCGATATGCATTTTCGTTCGAGTTTACGCACGAATCGTTAGAAAGGAAGGGAAAAGAAACAAATTAACGGGGGGACAAATGTATTTCTACGAAAGAAACGAATGACAAAGCGGGGTTAATTTTCATTCTCGCGAGGAATTTACGCTGGCAGCGACACTTTGCCAAGTCGTTAGCCGGTGTCGTTATCGTTCCTTCCGGTTCGCTCAGCGGCTACAATTATTTTTCATCGGCCCCTCGAAGAGGGGCAATCGTGGCGGTAAGTAGTAGAAATCAAACAGGAGGAAAATGGTTCTCCGTAGAGGCGGCGCGTTACGCCAAATTAATGTCGAGTGCTTCGGTCTGTGCAATCGTCCGCGAAGATAACGAGATTGTTAATTAACGGACGAAATTTTCCATCCCGACAAACTCGAACGCTACGTAGCAAAGAAACAAGCGGAGAACACGAGGTGACAAATAAACGAACGATACCATTTATCCGTACTAGATAAGAAACTTAAACTGGCTCGTAGAGAAGGGAGCAAGGTGAAAAGGAAAGCAGAATGAAAGATGAAAGAATATTTCGTTCGAATATCGAACGTGGAAAATCAGAACGAAAAGAATAAGGAAAGAAGGAAGAATAAAAGGAAATTCTTGGAGAACGAGACAGGGCATTCGAAGAAACGAATTAGTCGGTACGCAAATTTCTAAGATTCCGAAGATTAGTCGTTGGCTGTGTGTAGCGGCACGAGGCCGTTGTTACGTCCCGGGATCCGCGATAATCCTAAGGAACCGTCATCTTGCTGAAACTACGACTAACGACGAACTCGACGCGTTTCTCGGCCCTGGCACGACGATTCTCTCTCCAGCGGCTTCTTTCGTCCTTATCGTAGTATCGCGGAAAGACCGACGAGATACATACAGTGCTGCTATAAAGCGTATAAAGTGTCGACGGGCCGAAAGGGTCGAGAAACTTCGATACGCCTTCGGTACCTCAGTCGGTTGTTAGTCATGAGTCGATTTGCGAGGAGTTCGGTAGTCGCGAGCGATCGGTCGAGTCGACGGAGAGTTCGAGGCAACGACCGCTAGTAACATTAACAAACGCGTTGTTAAATTAATACGCCGAGTAGTCCTTTGGAACGCGCTACCCTCGGAAGCTCGAGGGGAAAAACGCTAATACATAGAAATTTCCTGTACGTATGAATCGTTTGAATGGGAATAGAGAGAGAGAAAGAGAATGGCGCGGGTGAAATTTCAGAATCGAAAGGAACAATGTATCCGTTTGATAAAATCGAGACAGTCCGTTCTGCGAATGGGAATCGAGTTGGGAATCGTCGACCGTTGAAAAAGTTGCTTTTCAATGGAATATTTTGTCGAAGGAGGAAAATGGAATAAGATACGGTACACGGGATCGAGCTTCTCAGCCAGAACGAGAGAAGAACGGGACGATAGTAGCGTATCAAGCGGCAAAAGGGTAGAGGCAATAAGGCAAATCTAGATATCGACGTGCGAATTCTCCGTGGACCATACACACGGGTATTGAGTTAAGTCGCGGAAATCTGTAGAAGGGGATCGGGTATCGAAGGCCGACGAGTATAGAAGGCGAGGTTAGCCTTCGATTTTCGATAGAGGCGAGACAAATTTCAGAACGTAACGTTGGTCGCACGGCGGTGTAGCGGAGAATACAGGTGAGAGTAAAAAAGAATAGAAAGGGAAGAGTAAAAACGAGGGATTATCGAAAACACGAGGCGCGAAAGCGCGAATGTTTCGATACGAAGAATTCGGTCGGGTAGTTAAAACCGAAGCGGGTTAACGATCGTGTGGGCAAGCCGTAATTAACGAAGCGTCGCTGACCTGGAAAAACTGATGAAAAGGGAAACAAAGAAGCGACGGAGAGTTTAACGGTGACATTGCTGGCAGCGTAAGTGCGCCGCGATTAAAAGTTTTACCGCGACGAAAGTGAAACGGAGAAAACGCGGTCCGGACGAGAATCTCGACAGAGATCGACATCCGAATACCATGGTCGTTTGTCAGGGCATCGTGGGTCTCCCCATGGGCGCAAACTCGCTCTTTATACCTCCTAGACAAGCCTGAATCACCTAAAGCGATTGCACGCCGGGAAACCTCTGGGACAGTTCGTTGTCGTACGGACGCATTTATCATTCTGAAAAACGTTTAAACGCCTTCCCGTCACCAACGATTTGTAATTTTCTAACGCGAACATCCTCGCCTCGAGTCCACCGCGTTGATACCACGGCTGGTATTCTATTTGCGCGAAACTTCTTTTCGCGACACAGATCGTGTTGGTTAATCGAGGCTACGACACGCCGCGCCGTGCAGCCGGTGTTATCGAACCCGTTGCGTTTTATCGGCCACATATTTAACGTTTAAACCCGCGTAGCCGATCGGC